CTACAGGGAGACACTGTCTCAAAAAGGCAGAAAAAAAAAAAAAAGTGAAAAACTGAGATGATTGACAAAGACAGAATTTACATACCAAGATATGAACAGGATTTATACCTTTAGAAAAATTTCCTGTACACACTGTGTAATTAACCTTTTTTTCACTTATTAGTATTAAGGGACCAGTAATTACTTCCTCCACAATCCATTTTTTTGACATAAGGTCTATGTAGCCCAGGGTGGCCTCCATCTTGTGATCCTCATGCCTTAGCCTCCCCAAACGCTGGTATTACAGCCATGCTGTATCACTGTGCCCAACTCATATTCTATTTCCAAAACCATGACAGCTAGGGATTTGCATTATTCGAGAAATATTGAACTGAAAATTATAACTATAAAAAGCGTTTAATGGCTATAAACACCATGTATGCCAGAATAGAGGCTAAGTTACTATTTCCCCTAAAATTACTCTATTGGAATAAGGACTCTTATTTTGAAGCCTTATGTCAGTCATCACTCTAATGCCTTTGGAATCAAAGACAGTAGCCTGAAATGACCTCATTTAATAATTTTGGATCTGCACAGTTTAAAAAGCATGCATCTGATAGAACTTGAAGAGTGATATGCTGTGGAAAACATGCAATACTAGGTACTAATAATCTCAAGATATTGATGTCAAAGACAAAATTGTTCTGAGTTAAAATATTTTTATAACATACAACCAACATTTAAGCATTTCATGTTTATCACTGAGTTTGTCAGTTACCCAATAGTTTTAGAGAAATTATGTATATATACACACACATATATATAATTATATATATTTTTCACTGTCTTTGTTTCCATTTGTACAGTAAAAGTGCTGCTCAGACTCTTCGGCAACCAGAGAGAACATAAATGAATTCTCTCAACAATTAGCAGCTTAAGATCTACCAACTAGTTTTTATTCTTACACACTGACAATACACACTTACATGCAATATTAAGCTCTAATGATCTCAAGATATTGTCAAAGACATAAAACTGTTCTAGTTAAAATATTTCATTCAATAGTTCTTAATCAAATTTAGACCCCCTCCCCCATCCATGACTCCCCCACCAACCCACTGGACCTCTTGTCTTCCACTATCCATGTCGAGTCCTATCCAGTCAAGCATTTGTACCCAGATGCCCTTAGTGCAAATTCATCTACTGGAGTCTAGTCAGCCTGTCAAGATCGTTATGTAAAGCATACTCTCCCTCACCCAGCAGCAATCAGTCTCCAATAGTTCTCAGTCTAGTGCCAGCCTGCCACCCATTTCTCTCCCCTCTGGGCCCTTGTTTGACATGGGTCCTGTGCTTGGTGCCACCACTGCCACAAGTCCGTATGTGCAAGCTTCCAGGGAACCAAAAGCTTCTGCTTCCATGTTCATGAAGATAACTGTACATCCATGTTTGTTGCTACTCTCTCCACAATAGCTAAGATATGGAAAAAATCTAAATTTCTAACTGACAAAAGGATAATGAAAATGTGTATTCAGATTTTAAAAAAATTAAATGTAGCTGGGTGTGGTGGTACATGCCCTTAATTGCAGCCCTTGAAAGACAAGAGGCAGGCAGGTGTCTGTTGAGATTGAGGGCAACCTGGTCTACAGAGTGTTCCAGGCCAGTTGTGGCTACAGGGAAATCCTGTCTCAAAAACAAATTTTAAATAAAAAAAAAACGTGTTATGAGTTTTGCCTGTGAACATGTTAAGTGCACCACATGCACACAATGCCTGAAGACTAGAAGGTGGTGCCAGAGCCTCTTGGAACTGCAGTTTTGGATGGCTGTGAGCTGCCACGTGGGTGCTAGAAACCAAACCTGGATCTAAGAGCAGCCAGTGTTCTTAACTGCTGAGCTCTCTCTAGCCTCCGTCCAGTCCACTTTCTATTCCACTAACTTTTTCTTTTCCCCCAACACTACCACTTACCCTTGGTGTGAAAATTTTAAATTGTCTTTCTTTACTAGGATGGTATGTAAGGGCAGAATCTCTGGCTTGCCATCTTACCCTCCAGGCATTAATGAAGCATGTAAAAACGAAGGGAAAGCAAGCACAAAAGGGGGCAAAGGCAACTGGAGTCAAGTTGTATTCGGACAGTTTAGTTACCTACAGAGGTTTCTTTGTGGGTTTTTTCATGTAATGAGTTATGTGTAAACCAAAGGACATTCACATTTTTCAAGAAACACCAAGAAACCTAAGATAAGAATATGTTTATTCAGATAATGCAAGTTCCAAAATAATATTTATGAACAAGCAGTTTTTGGTTATCACTTATCAATTTTGATGTTCTAATTTTTACCTTTAGAATAAAGGCATGTTCACTTAAAAGGTAAAAAAGGAAACTATTCCAGATTTTCAAATGTAACTCAGTATTTAGATACAGGTTTGTTGCTGTTTTGGCTTTTTTTGATTGAGTTTCACGTATTTCAGGCTGACCTCAAAGTTATGCAGCTGAGGATGACTTTGAACTTCTGATCCTTCTCCTGCTTCCACCTGCTGGGTGCTGGAGTTACAGCCATGAATCACCATACTTGGTTTATGTGGTGCAGGATAACAAACCCAGAGCTTTGTGCATACCAAGAAAACTTGCTTTCAACTGAGCTACATCCCCAGCCCCATTTAACTTTTTGTTTTAAAAAAAAAACAGAAAAAAATTCCACAAAGACAGTAGTAATAGAACCTGCAAGTTGTTCAAAGAAACACTATTTGGCTAGAATATTTAACTTTTGGCTTACCTAACAAGTTTTTTTTAAAAAATATTTTGTGTATGAGTGTATTGCCTGCGTGTGAGTGCACCCGTGTCGTGCAATGCCATGGAGGTCAGAAGGCGGCTTTGGATTCCCCTGGAACTGGAGTTAAGGACAGTTCGTAGCCTCCATGTGGGTGCTGGGAATCGAACCCGGGTCCTCTGTAAGAGCAGTCAGTGCTCTTAACAGCTGAACCCTCTCTCCAGCCCCTTTTTTTAAAATTTTATTTTTATGTGTATGCATGTATTGTCTGCATGTAGGTAAGTGCACTCGTGTTGTGCAATGCCTGCAGCTGTCAGAAGAGACTGCTGGATCCTGTGGGACTGGAGTTACAGTTGTTAGGTGCCATGTGGGTGCTGGGATTCGAACCGGGGTCTTCTACAAGAACAACCAGTGTTCTTAACTACTGAGCCATCTCTCCAGCCCCCTTTTTGGTTCTTTTTCATTCAGACAGGGTCTCACTATGTAGTCCCAGCCGGTCTGGGCCTGGCCTTGAGTTCACAGAGATCCACCTGCCTGTCCCAAGTGCTGGGATAAAAGGCATGCACTACCATGACCTACACAATTTTTTTTTTCCTAAAAGACAAGGATTCATATACTCTAGGTTAGCCTTGTAGGTATGCATCTAAGGCTGGCCTTGAACTACTGATCTTCATATCGCCACCTGTGCTGGCATTATAGGAATGTGTCACCAAACGTAACAGAAATACTTGTAATAAACGTTGTGACATTTCCCCTTATTAAACTTAAGTAATCAAATGAGGCAAAGTTATTTCCTTTTTTTAAAAAACGATTATTTTTAATCATGTGTCTATGTGTGTACCAGTACTGGAGTCCACAGAGGCAGAGGTGTTGGATCCTCTGGAGCTGGAGTTACAAGTGGTTATTAAGTCAACTGATCTGGGCACTGTGACCTGAATGGAGGTCCTCTGGAAGAGCGGTGCATGGTTTTTAACTGCTGAACCATCTTTCCAGCCCCCAAAGTTATTTCTTGAAAAACAGCTAATACTATGGTTTTCACATATGTCTCAGGAGTTCTGATTTTGACAGTTTTTAAATAACTCTGAAGAAAACTATTTGTAATATTGCTTTAACTGCCATGTTTTCAAATTCCTCACATCTTTCAATTGCAGTTCTCTTCCTGACTTTCCTCTTTTAAAGGTCTGCATACTGACAGATCCTCAGTATTCTGAACCCATTCTACCTGGTTAATGTGACTAAAGAGGCTTACGGGGGTGGGAATTCTCGGTCCTTTTGAATTGAAAAACTGAGTTATTCTACATTAACAAGGCAGAAACACATGCTCTAAGGCATACGATAATACAAAGAGTTTAACAGAAAGTCTGAAGAAACACTGAAGCTTTACAAGCTGTATAGGTGTGGTCAAACCAAGTCTCTTGTCACATTTTAGGACAAACTAGAGGTTGAGGAAGATCTACACAGTCTGAAGGCTTTTTGTCCTGACTGGATATTAATGCAGAAATGGCTGTTAAGCAAGAAAGGTAATGTCTGGGCAGAGACAGTGCTCAAGACTGTTGGCTAATGATGGCTGCTAAGAAATTCTTCACTTCTGCAGAATGTTGAAGCTGAAAAACTATAACCAGAACACTAAAAAATTTGTATTTATAAGGAGTATTTAAATTTCTGCACCATGAGCTAAACTCAGTGCAGAACCATAGACATACTATGTGTTACAAGACTAAAAGAACCATTAGGATAGTCAAGAAGTAATCCCGTGCAGAGGGCCTCTTGTGGAACACTGCAGTTATTGTAATTCCAATCTTAAGAGAACAGGAAAAATACAGATACAGATACTGAAATCACATGAGTTCCCCATAATATAGGATTACAAATTACATGAATAAAGCATCAAGAACCATAAAATTACTGGTCTGGTGACTGACTAGTCCAAGAAAAATATTTCCTATTTTTAGCTCAATAAAATGGCAGAACATCATAAATAATGTATTAAAAACAGAAGCAGAACCTGGTATTTTGCCATTATTGCTTAGCCTTGATAATATTCAGTGTTGAATTAAGCCCTTTATAATTGCATGGAAATAACTCTGCTTATTTCAGGTGTTAGAAATTAATTTCCCATTATCTTATGTAATACATTATTGTATTTACACATTCTTTGAAAGGCTATCTGACTTACATACCATTTATATACATTTAAAATCACTAAACATTAAAAATAAGAAAATCTGTAGATTAAGAACATATATACACAAAAATACTCAGGAAAGTTAGGTTGCATTTATTTCAGTAGGAAGAGATTATTTTCAGTGTCTTGGTGGAAAGGGCTCTTGCTGCCATGGAGCTGGAAGAAAAAAAACCACAAAGATTTGAGCTACATTAATGACGACAACTAATGTTAAATAACAGTGTAGCAGAAAAGACTCCATGATTAAAGTTAAAGCCAAATAGATTACAGCTCAAATGTCCACCTGCCATTTATCAGTTGTAAGATCCTAAGAAAGTTATTTAAGTTTCTCTGAGTAGCAGTTTCTTTGTAAAAGAAAGGTATTTCTCTGTCTTGGGTATCCTCTAAGAATTGAATGTAATAAAGGCATGAGGTGTTCGGCACACAGCTCTCAAGCACCTTCTTTTAGTTCTGTTTTCTAGTGCTGAACACAAGCATCCTAAGCACATCAGAGATAAAGGTGTTAAAGGGATTTTCACATCTTTCTAAGTATGCAGTTACTTTGAGAGCTGACTGTTATGGATCATTTGAATTACTAAAAGCTAGAAGATGTTTCTCCTATGTTTCTAGAATGACTTGAATTATTTTAGTATTTTTCTTTTTCCATTGGACCAATATAATAACCAAGGATGTTAATAACCAAGGGTTTTTGAGTCACTGCTGGACTTGCTCCCGGAGTGATCTTTTCTTAGTATCACAAGTGATTTAACTATTAAGATGAGAAGAAAGCCCAAACAATCAGTGCCTTTGTGAAAATTACAATCAAGAAACTGAAGTGTCCAAATCATAGATTTGCCACATCTACTGTCTGAGGTTTACACAATAGTATCAGCAGTGGCATCAAACAGAAAGGGACAAGCAGAGTCATCCTTTGTCCCTCCTTCCTTCCCCCTCCTTTGAGTTTTCTCAGGTAAAACAATTCTGTCTTGTTTAAACACCTTTGGTGGGGCAGAAAGGGGAAAAAAGTATATAGATCATAATACCATCTAATACATGCTTTATCATGTGAGAGAAACATGTAAAAGTACCACTGAAGTACCAGAGGGATTGTCAGAACAGTAAAAACTTCAACAAGGCCTGAATGCAGAGGCAGAAGTGGTGGGAGATGAGGCTGGGCATGTGAGGATGGGCATTCTAAGCCAAAGCATTTGATTTCTATTCAATAGTTTATAATGAATCAGTAGTAAATCCAAGGAACAGATGCCTGTGTGACCAGATATCTTTCTTTTGAGATAGTGTCTCCTGTGGCCAAGCCTGGCTTCAACCTCACTACAGAGCTTGGCTGGCCTTGGACTCCTGACTCTTCTGCCTCCATCTCCTAAGTGCTGGAACCAATGACATGAGTCACCACTCTTGGCTAAGATTTCTAAATTAGAACCGAACTATTTAGGGCTGGCGTGTAGCTTAGAGAAGGCACATGCCAAGCATGTGTAAGGCCCTGATTCTAGCCCTGCCACTAGAAAACCAAAACCAACCAACCAAACAAACAAAAAACCAAAACCAGAAAACCCACAAGAAACCCCAAACCCCAAACACACAAGCAAACAGACCTATTCAACATTGCTCCCATTCTATTTCAGACAAAGACTCCTGCAGTAACTTCTACTTATTAATTTATAAGGTTAGTAAACAATTGCTTAAAATAAATTCTCTTGCATTTTTCTAAAATAGCTAATATTATTTTCTTTATTTAAAGGACATTTTATCTCTGTTAGGATATTTAGATGTTTCCGTATAATTAATTTCAGCAGATTAAAAAATTTTTGCTTTAACGCTAGTAAATGTGATCTAATCTAAACTTGTATTTAATGGTGATATTTTACAGGTAGGTGTTTACAGAGGAAAAAAATTTAAGTTCATGAGGAAAATTACAAGATTCTTTTTAAAATTAGTACTTTCTAGGCTGGAGAGATGGCTCAGCAGTTAAGAACACTGGTTGTTCTTGCAGAAGACCCAAGTTCGAATACCAGCACCCACATGGCAGCTAACAACTGTCTGTAACTCCAGTTCTGGGGGATCTGATGGCCTATTCTATTCTCTGTGGGCATTGCACGACACGGGTGCACTTATCTACATGCACACAAATACACGCATACACACAAAATATTAAAAAAATTAGTACTTTCCAATTAATGGCTTTTACTTATATTAAGGTATTAGAATATTGAAAGGAAAAGGTTGCATTATATAATTGGTGGTTCTTTTTCTATCTCTTTTTTACTTTCTATATTCCCCCATTTATCAAAATAATGTTTCACAATATGAAATCTTGATTATTCAGAAAAATACTTTCCACATACTCTAAATTTTACTGTTGGAAAGTGGAAAGTTAAAATGTTGGTGCATTTCAGTATTTCTGTGCATTTATTTACTTAGTTAAGTTTAATTCTAAAACAAATTTTAATTTAAAATTTTTTAAAACTTCAAAATTTGAATTTCATGTTATTAAAAACTTTACTAATCCTCTAATGGCTGCCCACTGTATGAATTCCACTGAAATCCCTGAAGATGATCATTTAAGTACTCACTAGTGTTTCAGCATCAGTTTTTTTTCCTGTTCTTTGACAACTAGATTTACAACTTAAAAAATTCAACTCTGCTTGACAGATGAACAACTGTAAAAATCTGACAGAAAATTGTCTGCTGCATTTATTGCCACTTGTGCATTTCTTTATATAAATGTACAAAGCTGAAAGTAAAAATAAGCCATGTGCATACCTTTAATCTCAGCACTCAAGAGGTTCAGATGCAGGTGGATCTTTGAGATTGAGGCCAGCCTGATCCACACAGCCAGTTCCAGGTCAGCTGGGGCTATAGGGAGACCCTGTGCCAAAATAAATATAAAACAAAGCAGAACAAAACAACAACAAAAAAGTAAAAATGAAGCAAGCATTAAAACTTACAACTCACCGTAAGTCCAAGGAACTTCTGGAAGCCAATTTGGATTAGGAGGATAAGGATATGCAGTTTGTGGTGATGGCTGACAAGGGACAAATGGTGAAAAAATTGGTTGCTGATAATTATATGAATTAGGTACGTGAGATGGAATATACCCATTTCCTGGAATAAAGACATTTGCTTCTGGCTGCTCAGCAAAGTAACTAAAATATTCAGAGTACAAAACAGTAGAATGTGTGTTTTGGACAGATCTTGCAACAGAGGTCAACATCCCAGGAGGAGGTGGCTGTACCTCATACATTGTCATCCTTTGGTATGTGTGAGTCATAGTGTTGCCATTGTTGCTGTTGTAATGATGAACATACCAAGCATGGTGTGGATATGAAGTTCCAAATGAATGTTCAGAAGAATTATATACTGGAGTACATGCAGACTGTGGAAGCTCATTCCAGTATGTGTCAGCTTTCTGAGTTAGGGCTTTTGAATTCTCCTTATCCTGTTCAGAAAGAGAGTACTGCATTGTTTGAGCTGTGTTAGGGGTTGAACTCCCAGATGAGCCAAATGGTGCACTACTGGGATTTGATGTATTCTTCACATACTTTCCCAGTAACTCAGGTTTTACTGCCTGTGTTGTATCTACTTGACGGGCAGGAATTTTGTCCTGGATTATTACAGGTTCTGGAGAGTTGGTGTGTGTATAATCTTTAATAGATAAATCTAGTACTTCACTGTTTTCATGTTCAAAGTCTGTGTTAGTTACCTCTAGCCTTCTATGGACAGCCCTCACAGAATGCGAACTTGGCACTGAAAACATTGATGCATTAGGTGCAAGAAAATCATCAATTCCTGCTTTTATGTTTGGAGAGCAAATCTCCCGTGTTTGCTCCATGGGATTTTTATGCCGTTTCTGTGAAAGTGTGCTATGATCTTCTGAATAAATGCCATCTATATTCTTCTGGTTGCAAGGTACAAAAGGACAGTCTTTATCAGTTGTTTCAGCAATACTAAAATTCACATTTCTTTTCTTTATACTATTTAAGTTTTCCTGTTGTCCAGCGAGGTATCCTAAAGTATCAGATAAGCTACTAGCTAAATCTATTTTGCTTTCTGACTTTGATGTGCAAATGTCTTGTAGGTTTTTCAAAGGTAAAAGTGAGCCAGGTATTGAGTTTTGTTTTTTGACCATTTCTAGAGATACAGAGTTTCTTTTCAGAATGTCAGACGAACTTGATCTTATTTTGTTTTCATCTTTAGGGTGCGATCCTGTAGTCCTAGTGAATATAATAGAAATACAAACAGCTTTAATGATACAGTTGTAAAATTTTAAAAGATAAATATCTGAAATTTTTATTTAGGATAAGAATTCATGACTTTCCTAATTTTCTTTGGAATATACAAGTAAAATACTTTCAGTTTTATTTCCTGGATTTGAATTTAGATAGGTTCCTTGCTGAAGATAATTTAATTCACTTTTCAAAAACATTTCCAGTATTATTCTAAACAGTTTAGTGATATGAAAATTTCCTGATAGAAGCTTTTAAAAAATAGGAAACTACAGTTTCTTGCTCTTATAGCTCCTCCCCATTGACAAACTTCATGACTTAATAACAGCTATCTCTTCCCCTTCCCCCCCCCCCGATGTAACTACTAGCTGTGGGTCCTTACCCATCAAATACAGTTATTTTTTTTGTTCATTTTCTGAGAACAATAAAAGCAGACCTACAAAGTTTCTTGCCAATTTAGTATCTCTGACATTCTTACTAAGTTTAAAGTCTCAAGAAGACTGAGAGAAGCATGCATTATGTCAGTGTCAAGAGCCAGGATATGTGGGGAAAAGTTATGTTGAGAAAGGAAAAGTAGTACTACGTTTCCAGAATTAAGAAGAATTTATTTTTGGCCTAGAGTCTGTGTTCTCCACCGAGGAACTCAAAAGACCCATGCTTTGCTCCTCACAAGGCTTTTTCATGTCAACCTACACTGTCATCTAGCCCTATATAATACTGAGTTTTCAGAGCAGGTAATTTTGACTTTATTGTAACTCCACTGATGTCATTCCATGTAGACTGACAGCTGGCTGGATGGACAGTTCCTTACCCAGGCTCTTAGAGGATGTTCATTCCTGCAAACCTAGTGCTCTGTACCAATCTTGTAGCAGAATTAATTTTTTGTTAGTTACAGTTTGAATCTTTAAGCAGCAAATGCAACTTATACTTAACAACCCAAAGATGATTACTGTATGTGCTATGTTATCCCTCTAATAGTCTTAAGCCTTTTATGTCACTATACAATAATATAAGATTCACATATGCTATTAAAAAGATTATCCTTCACAAAACAGAAAAAAATGAAGCCAGTTAGAAACGCAAAATTTTACAAAGGTAAATGAGAAACTGCCATCAAGTTCAGTGGTACCATCTGGCATTAAAATGAGGAAAATATAAGCAATGCATGGAATTTTCAAAAGCTAACTTACTGTTTAAAGAGATAGCCTTTGAAATCATATTCTTCCTATAGTGTTAAAACATCCTTCTACAAAAGAAAATGTTTACATATGCCCGTAATTACACACTACTTCTATTAATGTTCCCACTGATATAAGCTGGCAATTTCTCTTTAACCAATCTTGAAATTTAGCTGGTCTGTAAAATTCATTTTAAGTTAAAAAATTAACCACAGGGGCTGGAGAGACGGCTCAGTGGTTAAGAGCACTGGCTGCTCTTGCAGAGAACTCTGGTTCAATTTCCAGCACAACAGTCTCTAACAACAGTTCCAGGGGGTCCAAAACTCTCTTCTGATCTCTGTAGACACTGTACAACATGAATGCACTTACGCGCATGTGGGCAATACACTCATACACAGAAAATAAAAATAAATTTTAAAAATTAATCACTTGCTGTATTCTTTTATGTACCCTCAGGAAACAATTTGTTAAGTAATGCTTGTCAAATATGGATTCTCCTTTCTTGATATATCAGTCATCCTTTTCTAATACCTGGGTAATTTTTGTAATTTTTCCCCTCCCTGGAGCTGAGGACCAAACCCAGGGCCTTGCGCTTGCTAGGCAAGGACTCTACCACTGAGCTAAATCCCCAACCCATAATTTATTTTTTACATTACTGAAAATAGTCATTTCACATGGCATTAGCCTTCAATACTTATAAAGTTCAAACTCACTAGGTCTAATGTAAAACATTTTATAATTTGAAACAAATTACACCCTCTTGTCCTCCTAGTTACATGTATGATTCAATGGAGTTATATATAAATAACTGTTCCTTATTACTTGCCCATTTTTACTTAGCTTTTACTCAAGAGGGTTGATGGCAACCCCTACCTTGGGTGCTTGAATGTTGTCTTCTGTCTGTCTGTTTCTGTAACAGCTTTCATGGTAACCTATAAAAAATACGAAAACAAATCCCAAATCTTATATTGTAACAAACTATATTATAACCCCAAATTATATTATAACATCAGTACCTTCACCCTTTCAAAAAACTCTCTGCTGGACTTACCATATTTCACGTTTGCATCAATCTAAAAAAAAAGTTTGCGGATAAAGGCTCTTCCAGACAGTAACCCAACATACTACTGGAAACATGAACAGCAGACCCCAATTCTATCCAAAGGAATACTGACAATGGATTGCCGTTGATAAGGAACAGCTGATCCTCCTGGAACAGGGACCTCTGGCTGACTAGATTTACCAGAAGGGCAGATAGGGGGGAATGGATGGGGGTTCTGACAGCACAGTGGACAGTGGCAGGGATAGCAGAGTATGGAGGCTCTAGTGGGAGAGGAAGACCGTCTACCCGAAGAGGTTGCATTCATGCTCAGATGACCAGGAGCTCAGAAGGTGGGTGACTGTGACCAGTGATAGTCATGTATATAGAGATTAGAAATGCATGTGAAAATGTCTCAATGTCAATTGCCTTGGAATGAATTTTTCTGTATGAAACTGTGTGTTTTGACAACGAAGTGGAGATCTTTTTTAAACGTTGGAACCTCATTTAATTTTATGTCTTATGGAGTTTATAATGAGTAAAAGATTATATAAGCGTAATAATTCATCTGTAAACCTAGAAATGTACAGCCAATTTTGAAAGAGATGTACCCTAGCTCAGAAAAATGTTATTGAATAGGTTAATGCGGTTGTAATGAAATGCTTCTTTAAAAAAAAACTGTGTAATTTGATTAGATTATGTATGTAATTAATATTCTATTTGACTTTGTATTGCCCTTTGTATGTGATTGAAATTGTGTTCTAAAAAAAGTTTGCAACATTCTTTCTTTCTGCCCATATACCTTAAAACTAATTTTGTAGTCTATAGTTATTTATGACTCCTCCCTCTTTTTTTGTCTTTTTGAGACGAGGGTTTCCCTGAAGCCCCAGCTGAACTGGAACTCACCACGTAGACCAGGCTGGCTTCCATCTCACAGAGATTCACCTGCCTCTGCCTCCCGAGTGCTGGAATGAAAAGTGTGTGCTACCACGTCCCACTTTATTTTTTGAGACAGGACCTCAGTATGTTGGCCTCAAACTTATGTTGCTTCTGCATCTACTTCCTTAGTGCTACAATTATGTGCATGTGCCACTATGACCAACGTACTGCCACCTCTTTAATAAAGAAGTCACTGATTCCCAACAGTTTTTGAAAAAAAATTGCATTTTATTTTGTATGCACAGATGTGCGTGCGTGCGTGTGTAGGTCAGAGGACAATTTGTGGGAGTTGGTTCTCCTTACATTTGAAGGTCCTGGATATTAAACACAGATTATCAAGCTCAGGGCAGGTGCCTTTACCCATTCAGCAATTTTGCTAGCCCACCCTCCAATTATTTTAAAAAGAGTATCTGTCAAATACAAGTTGAGTACCCTTAATCTCTAAACCTGAAATTCGAAGTCTCCAAAATTCATTTTTTCTGAGCAGTAATATGACACTTTGTGAAAATTTTCACATCATGAACCTTTGCTCTCTACACAAAATTATCTAAAATACTGTAAAAATAAGGTGTGCAAGAAATATAAATGAATTTCATGTTTAGACTTTGGTCCTATCTCCAAGATAGATCCGATTATGTGTACCCAAATCTGGAAAATCCCAAATTCTGAGACACTTCTGGTCCTAGGTACTTAGATGAGAAATATCAATTCGTATAAATTTTCCTTTCTTATACTACCCAAAGCAGCATTTTAGCACTTCTAACTATACTGAGTATTTTCTTACCTTTTTTTTTTTTGTCCTTTTTGAGACACAGTCCCCCTCTCCCTGTAACCCCAGCTGGCCTGGAACTCATTATGTAAACCAGGTTTGCCTTGAACTCACAGAGATCCACCTGTCTCTGCCTCCCGAGTGCTGGGACTAAAGGTGTGTGCCACCACACCTGGCCTTCCTTACCTTTTAAGTAACTGAAAAAACCCCCAAATTTCACATGACTTTACACTTCAATACGTAAGGATGATGTTCAAACTTCTCAGGCCTATATTTAAGACCTGGAACAATCCCTCCCCCGCTTTGTGTGTGTGTGTGTGTGTGTGTGTGTGTGTGTGTACGCACATTCAGCACAGAGACCTTGAACATGCTAAGTACTGCACTTCACTCCCAGTCCTTGAAGCAATTTTTTTCCCTTTGGTCTTTTTGAGACAGGGTCTCCCTATAGGCCCATCTGTCCTGGAACTCACAGGGATCCACTTGCTTCTGTCTCCCAAGTGCTGAGATTTGAAGGCATGCACTACCATGCCCGGCTGAAACAACCTTCTTTAATCCTTGTTTTACTCTCCTGGGCCACCAATTTAAATTGGCTGGGGAGCCAGTTCCAGGGGTGGAGCACATGCCTAGCATATGCAAGGTCTGGGTTAAAAATTCACCACTATGAAAAGAAATTAATACCCAGTCCTCTTATCATTAAGTGAATATATCCATTAGATTTTTTGGAAAAAACGAGTTTTAATTTTTCCGTTACATAAAATTTGTTAAAAAGTAGTCATGTGAGACTTTTTCTCAATCTTTGATAATCATGCATGTAAAAATACCTGCCCTACTCTTTCATCAAGTCAAGTAAATATACTTCTTTGGCCAGTTTTTAATATTCACTATATTGGCCAAAGAAACTACTCAATAAATATTTGGTCATTCATATAACTCACTCCTTCATAATACTGAACTTTCCCCTTATCAGCTATTAAAATCATTTTTCCATAAAATGCCTTCTAAATGAAAACTGAAAATGATGTATCCTGTAAACTTTTTCTTAAAAATACTTTGAAGTTTAATTTTAAAGCATTCATACCTTTTGCTTTTTACAACTAGAAACAGCAGCAATGTTCTCCTTTTCCCAAGAGTCTTCACACTTGTCTACAGTGATAGGCCGTTTTTTAGAGGACTTTGAAATGTTTTTGATGATGCACTCTGAAATTGAGGGTGCCTGCACCACAGAAATACCAGGTTGACTGCTATTTTCCTCAGGTTTGGTAACACGAGTATTCATCTTTTCTTTTCTATCTAGTTGGAAAGTATTCCATCTGTTACGTAACATTTGGAAAAGGATAAAACGAGTGGATGATTTAGCATCTTTAGCACTTATAATTTTCATCTGTTCAATTGTCCTCATGACTTTTACAATATGAGACATTTTACCTAAATCTTTCTGAGGGACAGACATTATATTTTTGAGTAATATAGAAAACTGGTTGTAGTTGTGTTCTAACTGTGTCACAGTGTTTCCATAATTAATGGTTGCTATATGTGGCACAAAGTCAATATACGTGGAAACTGAATACTTAGATTCCTTCAGAAGCTTTTTAATTTCTGTAAGTTCTTTAAGTTCCCTTGAGAATAAATGGAGAGCATAGGAACAATTAACAGCTTCATCATATTCACAGATAACATTCAGCTCTTTTGTAAGTTCAGAAATAGTAGTCTCTATCACTTTCCAAAGGCCATCTGCTGGGTTATCATTAAACAGAAAGAAAGACATTTCTTCTTGACAATGAACAAGCTCTGGAAGAAGAGACAAATCAAACCAAAGCATACCTCGAAATCTCTGGTTGTCTAGTTTCTTTGCTATTAAATTTTTAAGAAAATGAATGGTTTCTGAGAGCATCACAATTTCAATATAAATTTCAATAGCTTCAGGCTTTAAAACTACAGCACCATGGTTGCTGTTTAGCATATCCAAAACATTTTCTTCTGTGACAAAAATATTATCTATATTATCTTCTTGCAGCAACTGGAAGTATTTTTTTAAAATTTCTAAGTGATCTGTACATCTCAGAGTGAGGTTGTGTAACTTCTTTAGATCTGCAGATTTAGCTTGATCCAGTATTTCACTAACACAACAAATATCTGGGTATGAAAGCAAAGTCTTGTTGAACTTAAAGTTTTCTATGATAGCTAGAGCTGATTTTCTGGAAGCAATCAAAGCATTTTCTTCAAGCCCAATATTGGAAACTGGTTCATTGTTTAAGTTCTTAGACAAGGTATCATATATCTTCTGCAACTTAGAAAATGCACATTTGTTAAATTTAAGCAACAGTGTTTTGTTCTTTTGTGACTGTTTTTTGGGAAAAGAGTGGCTTTTCTCTTTCCAAACAAGATTTTTTGCAGCATCAAAACAGATATGTTCTAGACCATAAAGAGAGATTTTAATATTTACTTCTTCATTGCTCTTGATAAAATTAACTTTTGAGGAGATCATTTCTATAATAATCCATAAATGGTCATTTTTACCTGGGTATGAAAGAACTTTAGGAGAATTCCCATATATACTGATAAGCTTTAAAGTAGTTTTTCTTAAGGTTTCTAGGTCTCCTAAACTATCTCCAAAGTTAACTCCACAGGTAAATGGAACAGAAAGACAGAAGTCAAAGCAATCAGAATAGTTCTTCATTACGGCTTCACATTCATTAATCTGTCGCTTATACTTTAAGAATGCATAGTACGAATTTTCCTTTTTTATTTTTGCAAAATACTTAACTAATTGATTATGATAATTCTTTAATTCACAGAGTGCATTGTATTTTAATCGTCCTTGAAAAGCAGGATAGAAATTGGACTGCAGTTGAAACCCACGTGGCCTGCAAAGCAATTCACTGTACAAGGTCTCATCATACCAAAGCAAGCTTCGGAATGTTGGTTCACCTTCCAAGAGTCGTTTTTTGTTTTCGATGAATTGAATAGTTTCCATAATCATCTGAAGTTCTACCAAAGTATCAACAGCACATGGTTTCAGTTTAAGTCTATAATTATTCCACAAGTTTTGGTCTACCAACAGTTCTCTTGAAATCAGGATTTGTTCAAGTGAACATTCTTGCTTTCTTTCAAAAGCTTTAACAAATAAAGGGAGAATATGTTGACAAATCTTAGTTTCTTCTTCTAAAATCCGTAATGATGCTGCTTCATCAGCTCTCTGTAAAATTCGAGACAGTTCTGCTATATGAGACGTGCAATTAGGTAAGCAATGTTCTTCTATTTCCTGCATGTGTGATACAGGCTTCTTCTGAAGAGGAGTGACTTTAGAGGTGTCAGGGTAGGCATATAAAATAGGCTTATGCTTAATTCCTACAATGGCTGGTGTGTAAATATAGTCAGAATAAGAATCATTACTTCTCAATAAGTTACTTTTAACTATTTTCTTCATTAAGCAGTCTTTTGGGATCTTATTCTTTTGACTTTGGTACTCATTATCAACAGTTGAGCCCTCATTAATGCTTTTGTAAACTGCTTGTTCAGTTTTCCTCACTTTTAATTCCTGAATGATTTTTGCTGTAGATCTTTTTGAAGAACATTTTATATCATCTTTTAAGAGCAAAGAACTATCATTAGAAGATAGCTTCTTCACTCTGGTTTTCTCACAATTTTTACTTTCTTCTGTTACTGATGTTAAAGCCAAGATAGAACGCTCAGTAACGTTCACTTCATTCTCATCTATAAGGAAACAATTACTTGAAAAGTATTGCTTTGTTTTTAGAAGATCCTTTCCACCACACATCTGAGAATAGTATGATGTGGTAGGGTATGATGCAAAAGAATCTATGGCAAAAATTCCTTGTCTCCTGAGATAAAATTTTGAGGATTCTTCCTCACCAGCTGTCACTAAAACTGATGACAATTGGGGGATATTGTACCTTTTGCTTGCTATTAGATTTAATGGGTCTATAAAAATATTTCCCATAAAAATGCTTGGTGTGACAATCTCAATAGGAACTGTGTACTTTCCTACAGGAAAAATTGATTCCAATTTTCTTTTACAAATAGACACTGGAAGGTTATCTTGTTGATAGATATCAACATTTAAAAAGTGATTCATGTTTGAGTCTAAGACTGAAGCAAGTATGTCAGTGTCAGCTTTATAAGATGCATCATCATTTTTGTCTGGGCTATAACCTATATTGTTTTCTTTTATGTAATTTAGTGATGCTGAATTGCTTTTATATACCATTACATTAGGTTGAGAATTGTTTTCTTTTGTTCTATCCTTAATATCATGTGCTGAACTGTTCTCAAGCTTTGAAAAGTCACTATTAGGTAACTTTGTGTCAGTCTGATGTTCTTTTTCAGCTAGTGCTTCATCTGGGTAAAGCATACATTCATTTGTTTCAACAAAGTGCTCAAGTTTTGAAGATCTTGCATTTTTCATGATGCCATTACTGTATTCTGACTGATTTGTACTCTGGGATGGATAGGCTAGTGATTCAGGATGTTGTTCTTCATCACAAAATTCTCTCACATGAAAAGTGGCAAGACTACTGGAGACACTGCGAGACAAGATTTCACTGGAAAGGCACTCTGCAACGCTTGCTCTGTCTGTTCTAGAAGGCTTGCGCTTTGACACCTGGACAACTGACTCATCAATATCAAATCCAAAAAATCTTTGTTCTCCCTGTTTTTCATACTTTCTTTTGTATAAAAAATGCTTACTGTATCTTCTTTCAGACATAAAACTATCACCTTGAAGGTCACAACTTTCCCAGAAATTATTACATATTACTGCATATGCTTTTGGTAATGGACCCTTTCTCTTTTTTCCCACTTTAGATATAAGCTTCAAAGATGTATGAACTTTTCTATGAGCTTTTTTTAAGTGAAGAACAGCTTTGTCCAGTTTTCTGGACAGACGTTTGCTTTTACATAAAGAAGCTTCACTACTTAGAATATCCAGCACACTCTTAATGTGCCTTTCTGACTGTGAGAATGTTTTAAGTCGTCCTTGGGATAAGGAAGAAAAATGCTCAGATGAGTCATGACTGGTTAGTTTCCTCCTCTTCTCGTAAGTTTCATGTTGCCTTAAATCTCTTTGGGGTCTGTTCTGACCCCCAGGTGTGTACAGCTTTCTTTTACTACTTCTTGATTCCATGTTCTTATTTCCAGTATCATTAAATCTAGGTTTTGATTTTGTAGAAGAAAGTTTACTTTCACCATTTAGTATTGTGACATCAGAAGGTTTGGTAGAGAAAGTCTGATTGACTGATTTTTCATATGTATGATTCACACATGTGTTATGATCCAAGTTGGAAGAATGGGAGATGCTACTAGATATTCTCCCAAGTCCCAATTCTTGTATGGAATTACCAAATTTATTTTCACATGGAAAAACTGATTTTTCACCAGAAGGCTGAGAGTAAATGCAAAATCCTGGACTTTTCCCTTCTTTCCTTCCTTCTAGTTCTGCAGACTTGGTAAAATGTTCATAAAAATTATCTTTCAACTCCAAAGAATCACCAGTGGGACTGAATCCTAGCTTAAGTACATTAGTAATTGTAATCTGTACATCTGGAAGTAGAATTGGGTTGTGGAGCTCGCTTTCGTTTTTCTGTGACAGGGAAACACAATTGCTTTCTGTAGCGTGATGCTGATCACTCTTCTCCCTTCTTGCAAAACTTCCTAAAGTTTCCATTTCCTCATTAATGTTCAAAAACAGACCTTTCCAATCAATTCGAGACTTTAAATCTTCATATAACTCAAGTTCTTCATGAACAGCATTTCCATGGGTATGTGTATCTTGCTGAAATAAACTATTATTACATTCTTCAGATTCTATCTCAATTTCAGTTCCCAATTCAAAAGTTTGAAGAACTGAGTTCTCATTTACTGAGGGATCAAGTGACTCCTCTAATTTATTTTTATCCATACTATGTTCACAATCAGAAACATTATGCTCTATTAAACCCCAATCTGAAATCTCAGAAGAACAAGTTTCTTTAAACTGGTATTTTTCATGATTTGTGCTTGGAGTAAGTACAGTAGTACTAGCTGCCTGTTTTGTAGTATTTTCAGCTACAAACACTGAAGATCCTGTAATTTCTGGAATTATGGAAGCCAAATGCTCTACACTTCTTACATCATTTTGTGCATGTCGTTTTATGGCAGTAACACTATGTTCACTCTCTGGTAATGCAGTTTCTGCTGGTATACTTTTCTTTTCCAAAATTGAGTTAAATGTAGAAATATCTTCAGAATTATCAATTTCTACTTTATTGTAATTTTTAATTTCTCTTTCAACTACATTGGTGAAAAGGTTTGCATGGAAATCTTGCCTCTCACTTCCATTTAGACTTTCTATCTTGTATTCTGGATATGAAGCACTATATTTATCTTTAGCCTCATATGGATTTTCTTTATCTCCTTGCCCTTTGAACTTACTAAAGTGTAGGTCACAGTTCAGCTCTGCATTATAAAGCAAACTGTGATCCCGAACATCTTTGATCTGAGGAGTTTCGTTGCAGTCTTTCTGAATGTTCTCTGATGACACGGGGTCATTTTCGTTTTTCCTCTGGACACATATATATTCTCCAGTTATGCTGCAATTTGAACTGTCAAGAGGTATGTCAACGGCAGAAGATGAAATCACACTATCAGTGAGTTGTTCTTTGGCTGGGAGAGTGTCTTTTGTTTCCTGGAAATTACCAGTCATGTTAACAAAGTTCTGAGTTTTTTGCACCAATTTCAGTTCTGGGTTTTGAGCAACAGCAAAATTTGTACAAATACTGTCCTCATATCCCAAAGAACATTGGTGGTGCTTTTGTGAAAGACACTCTATTTCTGGAGTAAGATTACATTCTAAGTCCAATATGACATGATCTAGTTCATCTTTATTCTTTGTGGTAGATTCAGGAGATTGTGATATTTTTAACCCTTGAGTTTTTAGTATTTTTTCACAATTTCCCCCTAAAGAATTAAGATTTCCACCCTCTTTGTATTCTTGGTACAATGTAATGCAATTATCAGTTGGAATGATTTTTGTTTGATTAGTAAAATTATTAGTTTCTTTCTGCCAATTTTGGCTTTCACCATGTTTAGAACTGTCTTCTGGGGCACTGAAGGTTCTCATCTTTCCAATACTTTGAATGTACTCATCTATGTTTCCTTTCTGTTGAAGTGGGAAAACTGTAGAAGACTGTGATTCCTGCGAGATATGACTCTCGGATTCTTTTCTACAAGCTTTTGCTGATTCATAAGAGTTTTGTGGATCACTGCTTTCATTAGCTAAAACTGGGATGTTGCTTCTGTTTTGGATGCTCAGAGATTTTTCTTCAATGTATTTTTGGTTCTCAACTTCTGGAACTGCATTTGACAGAGAAATGGGGAAGGAAAAATTTAGTTGCTCCTTACATTGTTCTGTCATGGGTGTTTTACTGGCTGCTATACAATCATAGCCCTTTGAGCACATATTGTGAGTCTGAAACTGTGAACTTTCAAAAGAAAATTTGAAGGAAGGTGTACCCAAGCAAGTACTGGCAGCATGATTACCAGGAACAACTTCAGGTGAGAAGACAGAACTAGTTGATACACATGACAGGCTTATTTCTGAATTACCATGATGTAAACTCTTATCAAAAGGCAACATATCACTTAAATCTGTACTATTATTCTGTCTTCCTATGCTTTGTTCCCTCTTCATCAGTCTTGGGTCTTTAATGAGTTTTGAAGTAATAACTGTACTTGAGCCAGTATTTTTCTGAGAGGGAAAAGCAGCAGAAATACTACTTAAGATACTTTTAAGGTATGCCACATTGAACAAAAGGTCGCCAGTACCGCTTTCTCTGTTATCACCGGACATAAATGAAAGACTTGAATCAGGTACATGTACTTGAGAAGTATCTCTAATTTCCAATGAATTATCTGTCTGTCTTCTGTATACTTCAAGTACAGAATTGTTTCCATTTTTCACATTTCTGTAAGAATTAGAAGTATCTGAGTTGGAAGGATTTATCTCTGAATTTGGTGCTTTGCATGAACAATTTTCCTGAACGAATGGATCAAGAGGCTTCCTGAAGTGTTCAAAGATGACTGTAGCATCTTTTCCCTTTCCAATTCTTTTGGCGACTGTACAGTTATTCAGGGAACATACTGTTTCTGTGGAAATAAAAGAAAGTAAGGAAAATAGGTCATGAGTAATTTTTAACTGAGAGTTTATCTAATAACCCAATTGTGACTGTTCTCAGAAAATGCAAAGATAAGAGTAATAAGCCAATAAAGAATAAATGTTTCTGTGTAAACTATAACCCTAGTCTAGGAACATTTTAAAAAAACTATTTGCTATAAAAATGAATTCTGAAAAATAAAAAATAAAAATATTAAATAGAAGGCTGGAGGTGGTCAGTGAGATAGTTCAGCTGGTAAAGACACTTGCCGTCAAGCTTGATGACCTGAGTTTGACCCCTGGAACTCATATAGTGGAAAGGAGAGAATGTCCTCTGACCTCCACACATTCATCTTGGCACACAGATGCATGTGTGCACAAAGAAACAAATTAATGCAATAAAAAAATAGAAGGCAGGGATGTAGCTCAGTGTGTAGTGTGCTACCAAGTAGCATGCAAGAAGCTCGGTTGAGTTTAATCTTCAGTGAAGATTGAACCAGATGTGGTGGCCATACACTTGTAATCGCAGCATTTGGGAGGTTGAGGCAGGAAGAGCGAAAGTTCAGGGTCATCCTTGGCTACTAAGCGAGGCTGGCCTGGGTTACTCTTCTCAAAGACAGACAGACTGGTGTGGGGGGGTCAGGTTCAGAAAACACTTTTTCTCATTTACATTAACTGTATAACAGCAGCATCTATGCCATTAGTAGACACAACTCTCTTTACCTGCGATTTCCTTCTACAATGGGAAAAGTTAATTTTTGTTTTCCTGTAGCCCCAGCTGGCCCAGAACTCACTACATAGACCAGGCTGGCCTGGATCTTGAAGTGATTCACCTGCCTCTGCCTCTCAAGTTCTAGGATTAAAGTGTGATCCATCACACCTGGCTCTTTCTACAACGGGAAAAAGAAAAACAGCAAGGAAAGGAGAAAGAGGTCAAGAAGTATGGGAGGGGTTTGCCATCAACCTGATGCCCTGAGTTTGATTCCCCAGGACCCACATAGTAGAAGAACCAACTCCCAAAAGTTGTCCCTCTGACCTCCATGTGTGCTGCAGCATGCCCATAGGCACACATGCGTGAACCCACCCCACACACTAAATAAATAAATAAATAATAAATAAAATGTAATAGTGAAAAAAGTAGATGAGAAAACTCCACAGAAGTTCCAAAAGCTTTCTCTGCAGCCCAACTAAACTGTACCACAGTAGGTATTCTTGTAACAAGGTTGGATATGCCTTATCCAAACGCTTAGGACTAGAAGTATATTAGATTTCTGTTTCTGAAAGAGAGAAGTTGAGTGTGATGACTCAGGCCTATAATCTCAGCACTTGAGGACTACTGTGAACTTGAGGCTAGCCTGGGTTATACAGCAATTATCAGATTAGCCAAGGCTACAAAACAATAAAACCTTATCTCAAGAAACAAAAAACAAAGCCGGGTGTGATGGCACACGCTTTTAATCCCAGCACTGGGGAGGCAAAGGCAGGCGGATCTCTGTGAGTTCGAGGCCAGCCTGGTCTATATAGTGAGTGAGTTTCAGGCCAGCTGTGGCTACAAGGAGACCCTGTCTCAAAAAGACCAAAAAAAATTTATTAAGTGGCTGGAGAGATGGCTCAGTAGTTAAATACACTGGTTGTTCTTGGAGAAGGCCCAGGTTTGAATCCCAGCACCCACATGGCAGCTAACAACTGTTCTTAATTCCAGTCCCAGGGGGATCCAATAGCCTCTTCTGACCTCCGTGGGCATTACATGACATGGGTGCACTTACCTACATGCAGGCAATACATGCATACACATAAAATAAATAAATAAGGGGCTAGAGAGATTGTTCAGCAGTCAAGAGCACTGACTGCTCTTGCAGAGGACTGGGGTTCAATTCCCAGCACCTACATGGTGGCTACGAACTGTCCTTAACTCCAGTTCCAGGTGACTCCAAAGCTCTCTCTGACTTTCATGACATGGGTGCACTCACATACATGCAGGCAACACACTCATACATATAAAATAAATAAATAAAGAAAGAAAGAAAGAAAGAAAGAAAGAAACAAAAGATAAAAATGCCAAAAATAAAAAGAAAAAAGAGAAAAAGACCCAAATTAGTAGACTCAGAAATTAAAGAGAGGTTATTATTACTGACCTTAAAGAAATAAAGATTGTAAAGGAATACTGTATTATGAACACCTGTATGTCAGTGAGTTAGGTTAAGTAAAATGAAATGTAAAAATCCCCACATAAACAAAAATTACTTTAACTGAGACAAAAAGAAATAGAAAATCTGTGTAGACAAAGGTCTGAAAAATTTCCAATTGTGACCTTTTAAATTGGTTTTATTTAAAAAAATTTTCCCCATTTTTGACAGTTTCATCCATTTATATAATGAATTTTGTGTCACAGTGGTCCGTCTGCCTCTGCTTTCTAAATGCTGGAATCAAAGGTATGCACCACCACACCTGCCTAAACAGCAACTTTTAAAATCAAACATTCTAGCACATTATAAGCCAAAGATACACAAGCACTAATTAACCCACTACTTAAAAAACTAGCCTTGGTCATGCATGATGGCACATGTTAAGCTCAGCAGAGGCAGGCAGATCTCTGTAAGACTGAGGCCAGTCTGGTTTACATAGTAAGTTCCAGGCCAGCTGGGGCTACTCTACCTCAAAAAAACTAAACTAAACTAAAAACAACAAAGCCCACTCCCACCCACCTTTGATGGTTTCACTAGTGAAGTCAATCAAATATTTGAAGAATGAGTACTAATTCTGAACAAACTCTGCTGAAAAAGTAGAAAACAGAATATTTATCAACTCATGCTATGAGATCAGTATTATCCTTACACTGAAACCAGACAAAGACATCTAAGAAAACTACAGACCAGTATCTCTTTTGAATATAGATAAAAGAATTCTTTAATAAAATTGTAGTTAGGTTTAAGGAACATGTAAAGTATGTATCAGGAACAAATGTTATTATTCACATGTTCATTTCAAGAGATACAGAAAAAGAATTTGACAAAAATCTAACATTCTTTCATGATGAAACAAGCCCCAATAAACTAGGAACAAAAGGGAACTTCTTCAACATGAGAAAGCACATCTACAAAATTGACAACTGACATGAGATGTACTGATAAAAGGCTGAATCTTTCTCCCTAAGTTTTAAGAAGAAGACATTTGCTCTTACAACTTCTTTTAAACATTCAACTTGAGGAACGAGCCAGAGCAATTAGTAAACAAACAAAAAACAAAAACAAAAAAAACCCACAAAGCAAAACATCCAGATAGAAAAGGAAAAAATAAAACTATTCCTATTTGCGATCCTCAGGCCTCTTGGGGTAAGTCTATAGCGCAGCCCTCCGTACCTTGACTCCCCAAGCCACATTCACCCTTCATCTCCCCTGCTGTTCGCTACTCCTAGTTTGGGCCCTGCACCATTCCTAGTCTTGGGGCCCCAGACACCTGGGGAACCAATATGCTTCCTGATCCTTCTCACCCAGACCAATTGAGTGCCTTTCTTGGGCCCCAGGAGCACCGCTTCTGGTCCTGGCCCCACCCTCACCGCTCTCTGTGTCCCTGGACCTGCACCACCGGCTAACACTCCTAGCCTGCACTCCTATCCTCAGGCCTCTTGGGATAAGTCTATAGCGCAGCCCTCGGCGCCTTGACTCCCCAAGCCACATTCACTCTTCCATCTCCCCTGCTGTTCGCTACTCCTAGTTTGGGACCTGCGCCATCCCTAGTCTTGGGGCCCCAGACACCTGGGGAACCAATACTGCTTCCTGATCCTTCTCACCCAGACCAACTTAGTGCTTTTCTTGGGCCCCAGGAGCACCGCTTCTGGTCCTGGCCCC